GTGGCTGGCGCCTTAGCCGGTTGAGCTATAGGCGCCGAGCCAGTCCTCTCTAATCTTAATACTCCCGTTCCCTTATGCCCCTCTCCCCTTTTCCAAGCCATCAATAAATATTTGTAAAATATAGATCATATTTATCTACTGCTTTTCATTTCCACCACCAGAATCATGGTTCAAGATAACTTCATCTCTTACCTGGACTAGTATAAGCTACAAAGTAGTCTTTTTTTTTTTTTGGAAACAGAGTCTCAGTCACTCTTAGTAGAATGCCATGGCATCATAACTCACAACAACCTCAAATTCTTGGGCTCATACAATCCTTTTGCCTCAGCCTCCCAAACAGCTGAGGGACTGCCGGGGCTAGGACTACAGGCCCTGGTCACAATGCCCAGCTTTTTTTAGAGACAGGGTCTTGTTCTTGCTCAGGCTGGTCTCGAACTCGTGAGTTCAGGCAATCCACCCACCTCAGCCTCCCAGAGTGCTAGGATTATAGGTGTGAGCCACCACGTCCAGCCTTGTTTAAAAATGTAAAACGGATCATAGCACCACTTAATAGTTCCATGGCTTTCCAATGTATCTTCAAATGAAATCCAAACTCTTAGCATTCATTGAGTCAGTATGGCATAATTCATGCTGCTCAAGAGGTGCTTGGAACAATGCCCAGTAAATGTAAATGGAGGTTTTCTTCCATTAGCATGTAAGCTCCACAAAAGTAGGAAATTTGTGTTGTATTCATTCAAGTATGCTAACCACCAGTGTGTGGCATATACGGGTGTCTATAAGGTTCATGTGCAATTTAAAATAGTTATTACTTAAATGAATTTATCTGAAATTTCAGCTTGACCCTGAGATCATCAGAACTGCAGATTCCTTTTTCAAAAACAATCTTGATTTAGTCATCTATAGTTCAGTCCCCTACTCTGGGGCCACAGACCTATCAGGAACTGGGGTGCACAACGGGAGGTGAGTGGCAAGTGAGGGAATCTTCATCTGTATCTACAGCTGCTCTCCATTGCTGGCATCTCTGTATGAGCTCCACCTCCTGTTAGATCAGAGACATTAAATTCTCATAGGAGCCCAAACACTTTTATAAACTGTGCATGTCTGGAATCTAGAATGCACACTTCTTTTTTTTTTTTTTTTAAGAGACAGAGTCTCACTTTGTCGCCCTTGGTACAGTGCTGTGGCGTCACAGCTCACAGGAACCTCCAGCTCTTGGGCTTAGGCGATTCTCTTGCCTCAGCCTCCTGAGTAGCTGGCTACAGGGCGCCCGCCACAATGCCTGGCTATATTGTTGTTCTTGCAGTTTGGCCAGGGCCAGGTTCAATCCCACCACCCTTGGTATATGGGGCCGGCACCCTACTCACGGAGCCACAGGTGCCACCCTGGTTGCACATTTCTTTCTTTCTTTCTTT